GGACCTGCCCAGGACAGCACTGGCTACCTCTGACTGGGGCCTCATGAACGAGGGCCTGCCTTTTCTCTCTGCAAATCTGTTCTGAAGTTAGCTTTAGAGACAACAAAGAAAGAAAAACGGAGAAAAAAAGGAATGAACTCATTTGGAGCTCTCTGGTTCCCATCCTTTGCTCTTTTAAGTAAAGGGCTTCCCTATTGTGCCAAAAATCACCGCAGAGATCGCTTCCCCGACTTCTTCTCCAAATGCTTTTATAATACTGTGTGCTTACGGCTCGAGGGATGTCCAGGGACCAAGTCTCTTTGCATAAATCACAAGGAACTTTAAAGGAGACCATTCCTACTCTGAGGATTTAGAAAATTCCTAGCAAGGGAAAAACCTATTACGTCACAGTGCATGCATTTTCCAACAATTATTACTGGGATTAGGTTTTGGGGCTGGTAGATTAAAATGTGTCACCCTTAATACTTCAACTTCTAAAGAACAAGGCAAGAAAACCAGTCACTGAAAAGTCAGCGTCCTATCTGCTGAGTGAACTGCATTAACATCACTGTGCTTATTTTAAATCCTTCTGTGATACAATGCAAAGCAAAATGAAGAAGGAATAAAACCACAGAAACATGAACTGTTACTGTTCTAGAAACCAGTGAACTTTCTGATAATTGCATGTATACTTCAGAGGCAAAGAGGATACACTAGAAAATTCTAAGCATATGCAAAATAGGGCACGACCCTTTGGGACGTACTCCTGTGTTTCTGACTATGCCAGCTGACTGACCCCATGGCCACAGGGTCCACATTTATGTAGGTGAGACCAGAAACCTGGTAGCTTTGCTTCCTGACCGCGCTCCTTGGAAATATCAGCATGGGCTGTAATTAAGTTTGGCACTTTGTATGTATTTCCCAGCAGTGTTTTCTGAGTGGTGGGCCATGGATACAAAACACGAAGCTTCCACAGCTCTTCAGGACCAAAGTGGCAAGGAGTTTGCCAGGGTCATCTGCTCAAGGTTTTAGGCCTGCAGGGGAGAAATTCTTACAAATACCAGAATATCCTTAGAACGGTCTACAGAAAATATGTGAAAAAGCATTCCTCATCTCTGTGGGTTGCAGAAGGCCCAGCCCCCTGTAGGACAGCACTACAGGGCCCAGGCACACATTCATGCCTGCAGTGGGTGCCAGAGAGGAAGGGTTGGAGGTGCATTTGCAACAGAAGGGCAGTGGAGCATCCCTCTGCCCACCCAAGAGCTGAAGGGCTGGGCTGCGCTTGTGCCAAGTACCCATCATCCGGGCACCTGCTGGCAACTGGCAGAAGTGCACGTGTGAATGAGCCAGGGGTCTGGGGAGGCACTGGGCCCCCTCAGCTCTGACCACCTGTACCTCCACTCCAGCCCAGAAGCAAGGCCTCCACGTGTCCTTGGGTCCACAGGGACTGAGGAAGGGACCTCACCTCTCCACAGAAAACTCCCTAAATGAATATTCTTCCTAAGACAAGACGCCTGCAGAGTTGTGCCCCATTCAGTCCCCACACCGGCTGCCACGTTTGTTTCGTGGCCCAGCTGAAGACCCGCCCCAGCCCACAGCCCTCTCCTCCTGGGATGACTGGCTCGGGTAAACGGGACAGAGCTCAGAGAAGGGACGCCCAGCCATCCATGCCCCCACTCCGGGGCTTCTGGAGCCTGGCAGTGGGTGGCACACCACACCACACAGGGCCCTGCTCCGTTACAGAGCTGCTGGTCTCTGCCCAGTCTGATGGCCACACACGGGTCCTGGCGAGCCCCTCAGCAAGCTGCCCAAGGCCATCCTCCGCCATCTGTTAGAGCGCCCTTCATTATTAGTAATGGACACCTAATTGCCTCAAGTAACTGAAAAGTCCAGAAGAACAAACACCATCTTCAGGCACAGCTGGATCCAGGAGCTCGATTGAAATAATCAGGCCTCTGCTGCTTCTCCTCTCCCCTGGGTCAGGCCTAGGTCATGTGACCATTCTTAGGGCCAAAGACAGGGCGCTACAATGGGCCACCCCACCACAATCATGTGACTTAGAAGAGGGAAGAAGCAGTTTCCCAACACATCAGGGTTGCTGGACGGGCAGAAAAACAAACAGCCTCACTACAAGACCCCGGGGGGCTTCTCAGACCAAGACGCCCCTCTGTCAGCTACCCTGACCAGCCGCGAGCAGTCTGAGGGAAAGTGCCAACGGGACGCCAGGATGGTGGGCACACCGACGCTATCTGGCGGGCCGCCGACTGCATTTTATGCAGCTACTCTCCCGAGGATCAGCTGTTGGGGACACCGCTCTCTGCAGCACCCCCTGAAGGCACTCTGATTTCCCATGTTGCTTCTCGCAGAACACAGCGCTCACAGCCAGCCGTGAGAGCACCTACCACGCCAGGCTCAGCCCCCACCCTGCTGCGGGGCGCTGGGAACTCTAAGATGCATGCATGGAGCACGCTCCCTTCAAGCTCTATGACCATCATTCCTGCATGTCACGTGGTGTAAGTCACCCCCGTTTTTGCCCCAAGAACTGGGATGATGCGGTCTTGAACCGGCTGAGTGTTCAGACTGCATTTGCACTTAGCGGAGGTTAAAAGGGCCCTCCAGGCACCCACACCCAAACGGGTTCACCCCAATCACTGCCGGGTCTGTGCCCAGGTCATACTGAGCACCGTCGTCCCAGCCCTGCACACCCCCTGCGCAGCCCTTGCCCCGGGTACTGGGAAGCCCTTCAAACGGACGCCAGGACAGGGCAGGGAATAAGCCTCCCCAAAGTCCAAAAGGACGGAAGTGCCGAGTCCCTTTGAGAAACAGCAAGTGAGCAGATACCCCGATTTTAAAAGTCTGACTTCCTGACCTGAAGACTGAGGGGACTGGGTGTGAGGCTCTCCCATGCACACCCGGCCTCGAGGAGGCCGCCGGAGGGCCGGGCCCACCGACGTGTGCTTGGGGCGGCTCGGGTAAAGCCAGCCGCATTTGCAGGCGCCTGTGTGTGTTTGTTCTGAACCGAATGGTGAGGTGGCCCGATTTCTTAGGCAATTATGGAAGGAAACGTAAAGGTATGAAAACTTGCTCAAAGTTGCCTGCATGGTTTTATATGAAACAGTGTAACTTGATTCTTTTATATTCAATCCGCCTGGAATCGCGCGCGACCTGCAGTTTCTGAAGCTGCTGAGCCCGGGACTCGCGGGTCGAGGGCAGCTACTATTTCAACCCGAGATTCAAGCGGGCGGGAAGGGGGCAGCGAGGACCCGAAGGACCCCGGCCGGCCCCTCCCCCCACCCCTCCCGGGCGCGAGGCTGGCTCTCCGCGGGGGGCACGGGGCCCTGCGTCCGCCCGACCCGAGACCATCCCGCGTCCGCAGCCCGCACCCGACCCCGGCCCCCGGCCCCCCGCCTGCCCCGCTGCAGGAGGACGAGGGCGCCGCCCAGAGGCGGCGGGCAGGCGGCGGTCGCTCTCCGGGGCCCCGGCGCCCGGCCTGGGGCGTTGACGCCCCCCCACCCCGCCCGGCCACGCGCCCCCTCCGGACCCCGCGGCCGGGCGCCCCCGGGGCCCGCCTCCCGGCCCTGCACCGCCCTCCCCGAGGCACCGCTTCGGGCACCGGCTGGGCCTCCGCCGGCCCCTCCCCGACACCCCCCAGGACGCGGCCCCGGGGTCCCCGGAACGGCCCGCAGCGCCTACCCCCGCTCCTCCTCGGGCCAGGGCACGTGTCCCCTTCCCCGGTTCCTTACAGAGCCTGCGCTTCTCTGTGCCCAGCGGGCACCGCGGCCAATGCCCTTCCCAACTCGGGGGTCCTTCTGACGTGGGAAGGCGGACCCGGCCCGGGAGCGGGACGGGGACCCCGGGCTCAGAGCAGGGTGGGGGCTCCGGACAACAGCGCGGTGCCCCACCACGGGGCTCGCTCTGGCCTGCGGGCGCCCCGCTTGTTTTTCTGACTTCACCCAGGTGCTGCTTTTCTCCCTCCAGCCCTAAACAAATGATTTGCAACCTGGGCAGTGTAGCCAGCAAGCCCACAACGACGTGGTAAAAATAGGAAGGCCGCCCTCTGGAAAATCAGACTGCATTTTAAAACCCAATTTGTTAAAAAGTAACTTCCGTAACATACCCTTAAACAAACAGACAAGAACCCAGCCCACCCTGGGAGCAAAGCAGGCGGCCCTGCGGGATGTGCTCCCTGACCAGGAAGCTGCCATCCTGGGAGGGAATCAGAGTGGGAAAATTCTTGTAAATAACCAGCAAGACTAATAATAAACTTAATGGCTCTTCAAAGATAAACATTTTGGGACTACTTAGCCGGTCTGCGTCCCCAGCCCCTTGTCTCCCCACTGCCTACAAAACCCTAGGCAGCGCACCACCCCGGGGCTCTCTCGTCCCCTCCTGGCCTGACCCGGGAGCGCTGTCCCCCTTGCTTTCTCTGTAAGTAAAAGCCTCTGCCCCGCTCTCCTACCTCGGGTGTTTGCGAAGTTCATTCTTGGGCGCTGCGAACAAGAACCCAGCGTCAGGAGGAGCGGGGAGGGGGCTTTCCCTGCACACCCGCTCCCCCCCTCCCCCCACCAGGTTACAGGCCCTCAGCGGCTCAGCTCACCCCCTTCTGCCCCGCCGGCTGCTGGGCAGGCGACCCACACGACCACACTATGGGCTCCCCGGCCCTCGAGCTTCCTGGGAGGACTGGGCAGGGGGGGCAGCTACCTGCCCAGCTGGGTTGGGGGGGGAACCTCCGGGAGGCTGGGAGCTGACCCAAGGGACTCCCGTTGGGTAGCACTCCTCACACAGTATCATTGCCTTAAAAAAAATGTAAGGTATAATCAATCCATGCTTCCTGTGGGGATTTGTCATACTCATAAGACATTTTTTAAGGTGGTAAGGAGAAATACGTACTCATCTTTAAGCTCACCCACTCGGGCGCCACGGGGCGCCTTGCTGCCCTGGGCCGGGCCCAGCCGGTTCCCTCTACTCTCAGCCAGAATCTGCAGAGCCCCCTTCCCCGATTCTTGCGGGTGTCTGCTCACCTTACCAGTGAGGTTGTCCTTCACCTTAAGGAGCCCGGTAGCCTCGCCGCTTACAGGCCTGGCCCTCATCCTCACCGCATTTATGACCTGCTGCAATAGAGGACACACAGCTGTTATGAAATTAAGATTGCATGGACATTTTCGATTTATTCAATTCTTTTTAAAAGCTTATCCGTTTCAGTTTCCAAAATTGTACATACGAATATCATAGTCTCATTCAGCATTTAAATGTTAATGACGTCAAGAGCTTTGGGCTAAAATCAAGTGTTATCCAGAACATTGCACAATCCCTATTAGCGTAAAAGTTTAAAGGTCAGCCTCAGGTGATTTCACGTGCTACTCATTCAGCATTTAAATGTTAATGACGTCAAGAGCTTTGGGCTAAAATCAAGTGTTATCCAGAACATTGCACAATCCCTATTAGCGTAAAAGTTTAAAGGTCAGCCTCAGGTGATTTCACGTGCTCATCCTATATGAGAGGACATTAATGTGTTAGTCTAAACCATTGCACTGTGAGAATATTAATTCATACCTCATTAAGTAAAAAGCCCTGGCAAGAATGGTGGTTTCCTGATTTCCATTGCAAATGCCAAATGGATGTGTGGAGGAGCTGGTCTTGAGCCATTTCCCATTCGGCCTGTAGCGCAGACCTGAGCCCTCAGCCAGGCAGTAAACACTAGAACACAGGCAGCATTAAGAGTCCCGGGGCACAGGGACCAGTGGGCACACAGACGGAAGGACGCGCTCACCGAGGCCCAGGCTCTGCCCCAGCTGCCAGGAATGAGAGAACACGAGCTCTGCTTGTCTCGGCTGGAATGAACCGTGAAAGGCATCTCAGCTGAAACATGATACCCATTGCCTTTGAGATAAGGAGTTATTTTTTACATCTGAAAATTGTTGTTAGGTTTAAAAGCAAGACCTTCCTACTTTAAAAAGGGACCATGAGTTGTATGAGGTCCCGTGTGACAGCTGCACGCTAACATCTTAACGTAGGCAGCACGGGGGAATGCTGAGTGCGTCCAGGACAGCGGCTGCACCTCTGCAGGCACAGCTGTGAGGCAATTCGGCCCGCCTCCCAGGCGGCACCTCTTCAGCCCCCCAGCCCCTGAATGCTTCGCGCCTCTGCTGCTAACTGGACAGTGACTTCTGCTCTTTTTTGGTGCAATTGCACTGAAATATCATAAGTCCCTTTTATTGAAAGGTACTGGGTTAGTGGTTCTTACTTTAGCCTGCACAGTAGAAACATCTAGGAAGCTTTAAAAACATACTATGGACCATCCCCAACCCACACCAATTAAATACAAACCTCTGGAGCCAGGGCTTAATGTTGATATTTTTAAAAACCTCCCCAGGTGGTACTCATGTACAAGCAGGTTTGAGACTCTGTTCTCCCGGTGGTCAAGAGCAGAATGTCTGGAACCAGATCACTTGTGTTCATATCATCTTCTTCATTTACCAGCTGTGTGACTTGGGGTATGTCACTCGACCTTTCTGTGCTTCACTTTTCTCAACTTTTAGAAATAATAATGCCTAACTCATGAAGCTATTATGAGGAGTAGATGAAATCTGTAAGTAATAAGAATTGCCTATCATTGTGTTTAGATTTAAGAAAGTAGTGGACAACTTAGGAGAGTCACCAGAAAATTCTTTCCATGTCTAGTCCAATGCTGTCAGGTGTGTCTGTGGGACGGAACAGAGCCTCCTCTCTCCTAAGCAATAAAGGCTGTGTGTCCCCTGACTTGGGTCCTAATGTATTTGAACCACGTATTGGCATCTGGCCGTTGTACTTTCTGCACCCCTATTCCTCGGCCTAAAGGTGACAGTTCTTCTGATCTCCCAAGTCTTATAGAAAATGCTAACAGTTTACGCATAGCAGCTGATGCTCCATTATTTAAACATTAGGCCAAGAGCAAAACCCTCTGAGAACGCAGCTCCCACCAACCGGAACGAATGGCAGCTGAGCCTTCAAGGGCTGCACTCCCCTCATATTTATTTACCTGGCAGGCAGCAGAATGCGCCCGTTTTGTTTTATGTCTAAAACTTTCCTTTCAAGCCCATTTTCTGGTGCCCCCGATGACATATCACAAAATGAAATAAAAGTATCAAGAACAGTAATTTATTCCTGAAATACATCTTCCAAGAGCTACAGATATCCACCATGTCGACCTCTCTTATCCTGAACCCAAGCTGTCACCTACATTAAATTACTTTCTAAATCAGAGGTAAACTTTATATCATAAAACACCATTCATAGCCACATCAATCCACCCTGAAATCTGCATTACTCTCTTGACCTGAACTCCGAGATATCCACAATTCACAGATCGACCAGCTCTGCTCTATCAATATGCCTCACTCTGATGGTGTATTACACTAATAGATTCCTGGAGCTGCAATTCACTTTGTTGATGTATAAGAGCAATATGTTAGGAAGGCCCCTGCTCACCTGGACGATGTGCAGCTAAAGTGGGCATCCGGGGGAAGCAGGCTGGTGATGTATGACCCCATCAAGGGCACCAACTGGGACAGAGCAAGTTCAGAGCGGGTTTGGTTTAGCTGCAGAGGAAAAGAGAAGCCCAGCTTGGATTCCACCAAGAAACCGCGTTCCCACTGTCCTCACAAGGCCTCATTTTGCAGGACAAGTAAGCGGCTGCACATGCAGTTGAAAGCTGTGCTTAACTACTTTTGCCTGAAGACTGTTTGTTTGCAAGTAATATGAATCCCTCCAGAGGCTTGGATGAAAACAAAGACATAAAGATATTGCTTTTACTCTTGGGGTATAGAATACATATCATAAAATTGTTCAAGGAAATTGCATGAGAAACTTCCTTCTATTAATTTCTAAAATATTGAGCAATTTGGGTAACTGTAGATGTGTGCACCAAAAAGGGGTTTTAAGAATGTTCATATCAACTTCACTGTAATACCCCAAACCAGGAATAAAACAAATGTCCATTGCTTAGACATGGCATGGTAGAATGGAGTGTCATTAGCTATGGACACATAGTCCCCATGGCATACAGCAACTGGATTTATTTTAGCTCATGATTCTGTGGCCTGCTGGTCCAGGCTGGGCTCTGACATGTTGGAGGGGAAGCATAGCATCATATGTTGGTCATTCTCTGCCTAGGACCAGCCAGCACATGCTTGTCCCATGGCAGGGGCAGAGACCCAACTGCTAACAGGCCCAGTTTTCAAAGCTTTTTCAAGACTGTTTGCACCCCTTCTCCCCATGTCCTCTTGGCCAAAGACCTGATAAGCAATCACACTACAGCCCACAGAGGAAAGGCATTGAAAAATAACAGGACTAGGATAACATAACTAGTATTAACACAACTAGGAGAACATAACTAGTATGGATCCAGGGAGGGTGGTCAGTATGCAATTTTTCCACAGGTGGGTAAATAAATTGTGATATAGTCAGTCATATGGTGGAGTACTATACAGCAATGAGAATGAATGAATGGCTGCTATACACTACATCATAAACCGCACAGATACAACCAAGCAAAAGAAATTAGACCAAAAGAATGCATAGGTAGAATTCCACTTATATAAGCTCAAAAACAGGCACAACTAATGAAGGGGTTAGATGCCAGGGTAGGGGCCAACTTTCGGGGGCAATGACTAAGCAGGCATGAGGGGGATTCCGCGGGTCTGTACCGATCTGTTTCTTTATCCAGGTAGCTAACAGGCGCTACCTTGATAGGTTCGTTCACATAGTGGTAATTCTTGCAGGCCACATGATATGTGCATCTTAGGCATTTGTTATGCTTTGATTAAAAAGTTGGTTTAAAGAAAATTGAGCACAGCAGGTTACCACCTGCCCAGGTGTCATGCCTAGGGCAGATAATAAAAGTATGACATTCAAGAATAAGAAGACATCTAAGACATGAACGTCTTAAAGTTCGTGATTTCATGATGTTTTTCCACAAGCAGCTACTTAGGGGGGCCCAGAAAGACAGCTTCCCGCATGGAGATAAAGCAGTCCTGCCACCTACAGTCTTTAAAAGAAAAAAAAATTCCTTGCTAATTATAGACTCAGTGGAACTCAAGGAGTTGAGTCTGGGAGTGGCAGGCACTGCGTCAGTCAGCATGGAGACCCAGAATCCTCAGACAGACGTGGCTTTTCAGCTGGCTTCCCCTTACTGCCCACGTGAACCCTCACAGAATCGTTCACACCCCCACCCCAGCCTGGGTGTCTCTAACCAGGCCTGTGGGGATGGGCAACAGCATCTCCCACAGAGGGTCGTTAGGTGAGGAAATGAGCAGGTGTGTATACACCGCTTGGTCTGGGGACCACCGCAGGGAGCTCCTGTCGCCATCCGTCTGCGCACCGGCCCCCGGGTCCCCCGTGGCCGGCCACACGTGCGCAGGTCCCCACATCCTCCTGCCGCCCGTCCTTCCCTCCATCATCCAGCTCTCCCCTCCCCCTCTGTCCCCCCCACCAACATCTATGAAGTGTGCTGTTTGGAGTTTATAAACCTGTCCTCGCAGCCTAGTTCCAGTGAGTTCTCCCTGCGGGTTCAAATCCTCTACAGGTTTTGTTTGTTCCATAAATGGGGGGAGAGGACTCCTTGCGTCAGTGAGCTTCCCGGGAACTAAACGGCTCCTTGGCCTCCTCCCAGGAACATGTCTACTCACTGGAGGGACAAGGTCTCTGTGAACAAGGACGGGACACCCCGCAGCGTGGAGACGGGAGCCCCACAGGGCGGCGCCCCCCGCCCCGGGCCCCCTCTCCCCGCCCCATCTTTCTTGGCCCCCCTCTCACCAGGTCGCGCCCAGTTTCCCTCCTGAATATTTCCTGGACGCACGCCCTTGTCTCCCTCCGCACCAGCACGGCCCCGGCTCCGGCCTCCTAGCGAGCTCTGCCCAGCTGCCCTCTGCCCTCCCTTGCTGTCTACTTTTTATTTTGCTTCCAGGGGAATTTCCCACACTCGGAGGCGTGCGGGCATCGCCTGACCTCGTAAGCTCTTGGCAAGTTTCCGGTCACAGATTCTGGGCTTGTGTGGACCTGGCAGCGGAAATGCTGTCTACGTTCCGCAGTCCCTTGGCCTGATGAGGAACTGGGGACACGAGGTCCCACGGGGTTAGGAGGGTGTGGGCACTGAGAAATGAAAAAGGAGAGATCTCTACATAGGCAAAAATTTCAGACTAGCACTAAACTGTCGTGTTATTTTAAGGGTTCTGCAAAACTGTACTCCTCCTTCTAAAATGTAATTGGGATAGGGGAGGGGACAGGAGCCAGGCTTGAACATAATGTAAATGGTAAACAGTGGCAATATCAGGTGGAAAGAGCCAGAGAACACAGACTTCAGTGATCAGCAGACCAGAGTTCCAGTCCTTGTGCCTCCTGAGCTGTGTGATCTTGTGCTAATTACTTAACATCTCTGAGCCTTAATTTTGTTATCTGTAAAGCAGTAGCATTAATGGCATGTATCTTTTACTGGGAACGTTAAATGAGATCATGCTTGTGAAACACTGAGCTCAGTGTAAGTGTCCAATAAAGTCAGTGTCAGTAACCATAAAAAATGATTGTTAGGGAAGGCCTACAGCCAGAAGGTAAATGCCACTGATGTGTGATGCCAAGAGAGGGCAATGTGATGATGCCCCCTGGACCTTCCAGACTGAACCAGGCTGGTAAGTCACCAGAGGTTTTAAGAACTCAGAAGGCTTTTTCTGGGTTAAAAAGGTGTGAAAAACAGTGGATTCAGAATTGAGAGATGGTGGTTTGGTCCTGCCAGGAACTCAAGCCCCCGTCTGGCTGGCCTGAGGTTCCCATGTGCCAGCCGCTGGGTACCACTGCCCTGTGCCCCTCCCTGGTGGTGTTGCTACAGGTGTGTGTCCCTTCCGGCTCTCCATCTCTTCCTGCCACTCCTCCAGCTGTTTGAGCAGCAGGGGCTCTGCTCCAGACTTCTCGTGTCCATTTTAGCTTCTCCCCACCTCGTGTTTTCAGTTGTCACCCAGAACCCCTTGCAATGTCAAAGCAACATCTCAAATTGAATAAGCATGCCTCACTTTGATTTCAAAGTTGCTGCCAGCAAAGAGGCTTTTGAGTAGGTCAGCTCAGAGTCCTTTTAGATGAAGAGAGTTTGTAGGAATGAGGGTGGTCAGAGGGTCACTGGGTTTTGCAAAATAAAAGTCTAGTTAGAGTGTTTGGTCACTAGTGTCCCAGAAGTTCATAATCCCATTTTGTTCCAGCTGAACATTGCACAAGCATTTTATCAGGAAAGTGAATTCCCTCCCAGGTGGAGGTCGTGAATTGCTTCATGGAAGAAAGTTGGCCCTAGACTAGGTTTGGGACAGTCTTCTTTCATCATACTTAAGTTCCTTCATTGTCCATTTGAACTAGCTTGTGACTTCTCAATTATGTCGCAGGGGGCAAGGGCCTGGTTTCAGAGAAGAAAGTAGGAAAAGACTAGGAGTTCAAGTCTAGGAGCTCCGAGGGGCCTGTCTTCCTTCTATTCCCGAGGAGTAACAGGTGAGGAGGCTCATCTCAGACCCCTCAAGGGTCTCCCGCCGGGGCCACCTGGAGGTACGGAAGGTGCCATGTGGAACGCTCTCGGAAGCAGAGGTTCTGCGCTGCAACCCGGAGGGACCGCGGAGGTCGGGATGGGAGGCTCCGCTGGGGCCGGTGGGCGCCGCCCGTGGGCAGAGGGCTTGCGGGGAAGGCGAGAACATGGTCCCGCTGCAGGGGCGTGGATATGCCAGCCTGGGGGGCTAGAGGAAATCAGGAACAGACATGACTTGCAAAATCTGGAGGAAAAACGATGCAAGAAGAGCCCCTTCCACATCCTGAAAGTTGAGCTTGAGCTAAGTCCCAAACCAAAATACAGAGACCATGAGACCCCCCCGCCCCCGAGCAGAGAGCAGACCCGCAAAGAACCCGCGTGCCCTCGGCAGGGAGGGGTAGGTGAGCTCCGGGGCTGGGGGCTGAAGGCCGAGACAAACGCGTCTGTTGGGGTAGAAAAGATCCCCTCATTTTTGAAATGGGACCCACCTGACAGGGCCACGGCTATGAGGTCTGGGAGAGAACAGCAGCGCCCCAGTACGCAGCGCGGGACCCCTGAAGCACGAGAACTCAAGAGGGAGCAATTTTAACCACCACTTACGGGCTGATGCTCTTAAATTTACATTTCCTTCTCTTGGGCTGTCTTATCCAACTTTTCCTAGTGGTACTACATGCACCTTAAATTTAAATGTACCTAAAAAATTCAACCCTCACCCTGTATGTCCACAGGCAAGCTCTGGAGACACTGCAGGTTTGGGCTCCAGGTACCGCAATAAAGCAAATGCAGCAGTCAAGTGACTCAATGAATGTCTGGGCTCCCCCATGCCTGTAAGTGTTTACACCTACTGTGACCTATCAAGTGTGTAATAATAAATAGTATTATGTCTAAAGGCAATGTACCTACCTTAGTTTAAAAATACTATATAGCTAAAAAAAACACTGTCTTCTGAGCTTTCGGGGATTCATAATCACTGATCATGGATCACCATTACAAAACAGTAATGAAAAAGTTTTAAATATGGCAAGAACTACCAAAAGTTGACAGAGGGACATGAAGGAGATGCTGTTGGAAAAGTGGTGCTAGGATGCTCGATGCAGGGTTGCACAAACCTTCAATTTGTAAAAAAATGCTGTATCTGTGAAGGGCAATAATGTCAAGTGTAATAAAACAAAGCATGCGTGTTATTCTTCCTGTGGTTCTTCTGTTTGTGGAAAGTGCCACCACCCACTAAGTCCTCTAGGGCAAAGATCTTAAGCTAATCACGTACCTCCTGCTTGCGTTAAGGAAGGCGGCAGGAAGGTGGGGACTGACTGGCAAGGCCCCTGGAAGCCATGCCCTCAACAGCCATGCCATTCAGCCGTTGTCCTCAGGGAGAAGCCGACTTGGAAAAGGTCACTGGGCACAGGATCTTTGGTGACCAACATTTCAAAGAATAGGTGGGAGACGGGACATGCATGGAGATGAGGGGAGAGCAGAAAGGCAGAAGAACCAGACATTTGATGTTGTGGGAGACACGGGAGGAAAGAATTTCTAAAGAAAGGGAGCAATCAAGAGAAAGACTGAGAAACCGCTTTGGGTTCAAAAATGAGATCGCCGACGACCTTAGCAAGAGTGGTTTCGGCAGAGTGGGGTGGGGGCAGCGGGCTGTGGCGTTGCTGGGAGAGGAGTAAGGAGAAGGCACCTGCCAGCATCCCCAGCAGGAGCCTAAGGACAGAAAAGAAGGAGGATCATGGGAAATGATACCCACGTTCAAAATTTCATCTGCATCTTAGCGGACAGCCCCGTCTGTTCATCTTGACAGTGAGGCCCCAGGGCACACATGTGATAGAGTGCACAAATTCGAGGTTTACACTGAAAATTAGAGAAATGGAAGCATGAGTCATTCTTTAAAAAGCCTGTGAATTTCCTGACAATAGCTCTTTAATTCTTAAAAATCTATGATCATCTGAGCTCTGGGCCATTGGGCAGCAAGAAATGTGAACAGTCTTTAGGGGCCATCTACTTAATCCATTTACTTCTGCTTTCCTGAATAAATCAGTAACACTCTGGTAATTCTTGGCTCCAGCGTAGTGTGTTTGAAGGTCTTTACACTTTACACTGAGAAAGTGTGACATCGTGAGAGGGGATCCAGCAAATCGGGTCTTTCACAAGTCTGTGATCTGAGGCAACCTGTTTTTCACGTATCTACGACTTTGGACTAAAAGCACGCCTGGTGAATCACTATGTTGCATACGTGAAACCAACATAATATTGTTTATCAGGTGTACATCAATAAAAAAAAATTTTTTGAAAAGCATGCCTACCCTTAATTGTTGGAATGAGATGAACCAGCTGTCCTTATTAAAACTAGATGCCCATACCCCACTTCTTAAAAGTCCATAGAACTAGTAATAAAGGAAGATGAAGAAAGTTCAGTCTTGACTGTACCATGCCATGGCTAAGTTGCAAATTCCAGAGCACAAGCTTACCTGAGTCCTGCAAAGGAAACTGAGTGTATCGACGTTTTTTTCAAGAATGAATTAGTGACCTTTCCCCCTCATCTGTGATAAATGAATTCTTACCTTCCGTATTTAGGTAGAACCTCAAAATAGTTATTGGCATAGAGTTAGGCACTGCTAATTAGTTAACTAAACTGAACCATATTTTGCTAAAAATTCCAGGCGGGCCTCGTGAAGGACACACCGTCACCACACTATGCCTTCCTCAAGGGCAGGAGGCGCGGTTCTCTTGGTTTCCATGGAAACCAATGCCATGTTATTTTCACAGATGCCGCGTTGAGAGGACTGCAGTAGATTTAGTACCTTGGGAATGTTCTGAATGACAGAGCTTTGCACCAAGCAGGATCGTGTGTGTGCAAGGACAAGGGTTTTGCAGCTCATAATGGGGAGGAAGAGACGCTAACATTTACCAACCATCTACTTACCAGGAGTTATTCCCGTGCTTTTCCCACTCATGTTCGGACAGCCCACAAGGTGGGTACTGCTTCTCCGTCTGCAGACGAGGAAATAAGCACCCAGTCCACGTCCACAGAGGTAGAGGAGCCTGGTGGGGATTCTCTCCAGATGTGTGAAAGTGGGTCAAACTCCAAAGCTCTCGCTCTTTCTACTCCAGCACATGGGGATAAATCTACTCCAGACACAACTGAAAAAAGGCCATGTTTACAAAATACCTAAGAAGTCATCATAATAATATTAATATTTAATGTTTCCTAATCATGTTTGATTTGTAACACTTGTATAGCTATCACCAAGGCAAAGCTATTACAGTAATTTTGAGGGAGGAATAAGTATATGAACAAAATCAATAAAATAAAAAAACCTTAGACCAAGAGACAATTCTGAAGCTGCTGACAGGATTTAT